CTGTGACCCCAGGGCACCACCCTGGATCCAGTCATCACCTGGAGCCACCAGCTGAGCTGCTGTGGAACTGGTCTGGCAGGAGAAAGGACTGTAAGATCCTGACTGGGTTTTCTGGGGCACTGCCGATTGCCTGGGAGAGCACCCAAGGGCATGCCCATTGGTGGGAATTTGGCCAAGCTCTCGTGGGCCACACCAACTGCCCATAAACAAGCCAGCCACTGGTAATCATTCTGAAATTTTGTGGACTCTGCAGACCAGCCAGAGGCTAGTGGGTCGCTGGGAATTTGACTCTGACTTTTCAGATCCTGTTGGATCCAAGACCCTGCTTGGGCAGGGGCTGCTGTGTGAGGGCACCTGCATAAGTGCCACTGGGCAGGGACCACTGAGTGGGAAATGGACAGTGAGAATTTGAGTAGGGCCCCCAATCGTGAGCATACTCAGACAGCTGAAGTTCGAGTGAGGTCCCCCAAGTGTTTGACCTGCCCTTGCAATCACCCCAACCCTGTGCCTGCCTCACCCCATTTGGCTCCACACCAGCGCCTACACGTTCACGCAATCAACTTGCCTTTAATCAGGAGCAACTTGGCCTGTCTTACCAACAAGAGATTGCCCTCACAGGCTCTGAACTGACATTTCTCTCAAGTCAGAAGTTCAGAGAAACACATAAGTGGGGTAGCTGCCCAACTGATCTCTAGAGCATTGTCTTCAGATCAAGAACATATCAATGTCTCGAAGAAAACAAGCTATCCCACACAATACACAAGAGCAAAGCAAGATGTCATCCCCAAATGGTGACACAGTATCATTGGATTTTCTGAAGCCAGAAAGTCTGATGGAACTTTCTGAAATAGAATTTAAAGGAAGAGTGATTGAATATATTCAATGTGTGAAAGGCAAACTTGATGAATTACAGGATACTACAAGCAAAAACCAGAGGAGCTAAAAAAAACAAAACAATGCAGAACATTGTAGAGAAAACAAACAAGGCATTAGTGGCACTGAAAAAAAAACACAAGAATCCACTATTTAAAATATGAAGTCTAATGTTTCAGAGGCTGCCAACATGATAGAGGGACACATGAGCAGAGTTGAAGAAATGAAACCTAGAACCAGAGAAACTGAAGATAGAATTGTCACCACTGATCTGCTAGAGCAAAAAGCAGACTCAAAAAAGAAGGAAGAAGAAGAAGAAGACCTAAGAATAATGTGGGACTCCATCAAGAGAAATAGTGTGTGCATCATTGGAATTTCAGAAAAGAAAGAAGCAAGTAAAGGTACAGAAAAAGTTG